ACCTGACAAGACTCAAAGAAGCAGGCATGCTGGCTGAATGCCAATCAACCTGGAACACCCCACTTTTGCCAGTCAAGAAGCTGGGAGGAGGGTATCCACCCAATTCAAAAAGTGACCGTCTCCTAGCACGCAGTGGTCCCGAACCCATACACCCTCTTCAGCCAGATTCCAGGCTCTGCCAGATGGTTTACCTGCCTAGACTTACAGGATGTCCTCTTCTGCCTCCGCTTCCCCCCCCCCCCGCCCCTTCCCAAGCCAACCCTCGTTTGCCTTCAAGCGGACCGAAGCAGACACAGGGCGTCAGATGCAAATGACTTGGAGGTACCTCCCACAAGGGTTTAAAAAACTCACCTGCCCTCTTTGGGGAGGCACTGGCCAGAGACCTCGCTGGCTTTCAAAGGGAGGCCACACACTGCACCCTTCTCCAGTATGCGGATGAGCTCCTCCTTGCCAGCAATACCCAAGAGAATTGTACAGAGGGCACAGGGCCCTCCTCCAACTTCTGTCGAACTCAGGGTATCAGGTATCATGGAAAGAGAGCTCTAGAGCTGGAGTTCCCTACCCCAGACACAAACTAAGAGGGGGCTACAAGAATTCCTGGGGGCTGCGGGATTCTGCCGAATCCAGATTCCCAGATTCTCAGTAATAGCAAGATCTCTCTATAATCTCCTGTTAGGGCCAGATGGAGAATGCCCTGTCTGGCAGAGGAGGCCAATCCCGACCACGGCGCCGTGCCCCAGAGCCCCCTGGGAGACGTAGGCCCCCGTGAGCCCGCCCACCCGCCCTCCGATTGGCTTTGCGTACCCCCGGAGCCCCCTGGGAGACGCAGTTTAGGGCACGCTGGCCCGGCGCGGGAGACCCAGGCCGTGACCGCGCGGCCCGTGGGGCGCCAACCCCCTGGGCGGGTCGCGTCTCCTACCGCTCTCCCTTCCTCGGGCGGAGCCCTCGGGGCCACGGCGGAGACCGCGTGCGGTGTGGTTCTCGCTCCCAGCGCCTGGAGCCGACACTTCCCTTTTATCCTCGGGCTGCTCTTCCCGTAGACACACCCCGTGCTGCCCAAGCAGCCTCCCCTGGGAGCGATTCTCCCACGGGGTTGCTCCCGGGCGTGAGACCTGCGGAGCGGGGTCTTCCTGCCCCCACGCGCCGAAGTGAGTGCGGCCGCGGGAACCGCGCGCCGTGGGCGGAGGGGGTCTCGGAGGTGATGGCTGTTCGGGGACGGGGATCTTCCGTCCGCCCCTCCGACGCCAACCACGACAAGCCCGGCGCTGAAGGAAGGTGATACTGACTCACGGTGCCAGGCTCTTTTGCATACATTATCTCACTGAAATTCCCAAACCACCCATTTCACTTAGAGGAGACCAGCTCAGAGAAGTCGAATAACTGGCCCCGGTCACACAGGTCCTAGATTTTGGAGTCCCGTTTTTCCCCCCACTACTTTGTGCACATTGGAGACTCAACAACAGTTTCGATGCAAGGTGCTGAATGACCGAAGCACTCGGGGCAGCTTGGCCGCGGGGAGGGGGGTGGGGTGGGAGGCGGTAAGGAGACAGGGAGGTGGGAGTGAGGACAGGATAATGCAAACCAAACCTCAAAGGATGCCAAAGAAGGGAGAGCAGTTGCCTTCCAGGCAACTGGGTTTTTCTCTTCACTAACCTGTAAGCCTTTGACGGTCAGGGACTGTACGCGCACAGCCAGCCTCCTAGTAGAGTCCCTAAAAATATTGTCAGAACAAATTTTTTTCAATGTTTTAAATTGTAAAATGTTTAAATACAAAAAAAAAATTGTAAAGAATAAAATGAATACCCTCTTACCCTCTATATAGATTTAACAATCAGAATAAATAACGTATAGCACTTTGTACCTTATGAAGCTTCTTACTTGGCATTAACATATTGCAAATGAAACTCATTGGTGAACCAACCAAGGAACTATTCCACACCACAACTGCACAACATCCACAGTTCAAGGCCACCCCCAGTAGCCTACCTTGGGGATCTGGCTTGCTCTCTGTTTCCATCCTGCTCGGGAGGTTGTAGGTGGCCAAAGAACTTGGTTTGTTCTCAGAAAGCACAGTTACAAATATGTGTCTCAATGGGAGGTTCATTGCCTGGAAATTCACTTTGAACTTGAGAAGTTAGCCTCTCAAAGTCTCAGATTTCTCCCTTAAAATTTAATAGACTGGAGTGTAGGGAGAGTTGGGTCACAATGGGATCTATTCAGCATCGTATTAACACAGGAACTCACTCTTCCATGATCTTGCCAATGGTTCGTTCTTTTTCTCAATAACAGATATGTACTATATTTAAATACCATAAACCTTTATCATGATGGTTGGGGGGGGGGGGTGACAGGACTGATACCCCCTTGAAGGCAAAGCTAATTATAAAATACTTTTTAAAAATGTTTTTAATGTTTATTTTTGAGAGAGAGAAAGAGATGCAGTGCCAGTGGGGGAAGGGCAGAGAGAGAGGGAGGCACAGAATCAGAAGCAGGTTCCAAGCTGTCAGGGCAGAGCCCGATATGGGGCTCTAACTCATCAACTATGAGATCATAACCTGAGCCTAAGATGGGTGCTTAACCGACTGAGCCACCCAGGTGCCCCTCAATCAAACATTGTTTTTTTGTTTTGTTTTAATTTTTTTTTACAATTATTTATTTTTGAGAAACAGAGTGAGACAAAGTATGAGTGGGGGAGGGGCAGAGAGAGGAGACACAATCTGAAGCAGGCTCCAGGCTCTGAGCAAGCGGTCAGCACAGAGCCTGACGCGGTTCTCGAACCCACAAACTGTGAGATCATGACCTGAGCCGAAGTCGGATGCTCAACTGACTGAGCCACCCAGGTGCCCCCCCTCAATTAAACATTGTAAAGACATTCCGAGAGGGGCGCCTGGGTGGCTCAGTCGGTTGACTATCTGACTTTGGCTCAGGTCACGATCCCATGGTTCCTGAGTTTGAGCCCTCTGTGGGTGGGCTATAATCTTCTTTGCACGTTTTTTTTTCATTAAAAAAAAAAAAATTACTGGAACCTCAAAAAATGGAAGCTTAGTGATCTTCTCTTGACCTAGAGGCCTCAGTGTCATCAAAACACTACCTTATAAGTCCATGATCCAGAAATGCCCGTGTTGTGAAATTATCACTGCAATTGCAAAATATCCTGCTGGGGACTGGAAAGCCCAACTTCCTACCCAATCCTGTCGTATGTACGTGAGCCTCAGCTCAAAGGAGTTTCCCGGCAAGGGAAGACAGGGCAGGTTGTTGTACTGTTTGGTTTCTGTCTCGGCAGGGGGAGGCTGCCTGCGACGTAGCTGTGTCACTGCCTTCTGGAAGCTTGTACAGGTCCTGGTCCCAGAGATGCGCAGTCAACACCCTTCTTGCCCAACCTGAGAATATCACACATCTAACATTTGCATCACATGTATGCATTTGGATCCATCCATTTTTTTAGAGAATATGTTGGGTTTGGGGTTATTTTTCTGAGGAGGATCCAGAAAACCAAAAGCACTGGATGCTCTGTAACAATATGAAGTACGAGGACTGACTGGACAATAAGAAAAATTCAACTAAGCAGAACTCAATCTAAGAATGATCCCAGGCTGGTCACACACTGGCAGGTGACACACGGTGCTGTTTGTCCTGCCAGGCATCAGAATGTTGTAACTGACCCGTGGTCAGAATGACCATTTTGAGCCTCCTTGGTCAGCTGGAAAAAGTGACATTACTGGTTAGTGAGGAATAGTAAAATAATAAAATTATTATCATGCACGGGGCGCCTGGGTGGCTCAGTCGGTTGGGCGGCTGACTTTGGCTCAGGTCACGATCTCGCGGTCCGTGAGTTCGAGCCCCGCGTCGGGCTCTGGGCTGATGGCTCAGAGCCTGGAGCCTGCTTCCGATTCTGTGTCTCCCTCTCTCTCTGACCCTAACCCACTCGCATTCTGTCTCCGTCTCTCTAAAAAATAAGCAATAAATACATACATATATACATACATACATACATACATACATACATATCATGCAGATGGACAATATTGCAAAGTGGCTAAAAGAGGGAGGTTTGAATCCTGGCTGAGTCACTGGGCAAGTCGCTAAACCACTAATCCTGGCTGTAAATGAGGATGATGAATCCTGCCCTAAGGGGTGCTGCAGAGATTCCAGGAGATCATGCGTAGAAAGCAAGCCGTGCCTGGTACAGAGCACGCACCGTTGGAGGGGAACTGTGTTACCAACCAAACATCTGTAAGCTGAAAATTTCATGACAAAGACAGAAAGTTTAAACCAGGACTTGCAAATGACACCGACTAAGTGACAGAAAAGTCACCACTTTGCATATACCATTGTAGCAAAAGATTTAGGAAAGGATTGCCGCCAAATGCCAAAACCATGGGGTGAAAGACATTTCCACACACTCGGGCTACTTACTAATTACAAAGAAAAAATAGAGACATCCTGGGGATGCCTGCATGTACCCTCAGTCTAGTAACAAGGAGACACCCAGACAGATCTAAACTGCAGGACATTCTGCTTGGAACGCACTTTTCAAAAACATTGTCTTGACAGAACTTTAAGAGGTGGGTAAGTGTGAGAGTGTTCTAGATACAAGCAGGCTACAGAGATGTGACACCTAAAAGTGATGCAGGATCTCTGATTCAGCCCCGGATCAGGAAGGGGGAAAAGCTGTCAAGGACATTATCACCATGGCAACTGAAGAAATCTGATGATGGATTCATTAAACTATGATAATGATGTTAATTTTCCAGAGTGTGATGACTGTATTCTGAGTATTTAAAGTATCCTTGGGGCGCCTGGGTGGCTCAGTCAGTTAAGCATCCGACTTCGGATCAGGTCACGATCTTTCAGTTTGTGGGTTCGAGCCCCATGTCAGGCTCTGCATTGACAGCTCAGAGCCTGGAGCCTCCTTCAGATTCTGTGTCTCCCCATCTCTCTCTCTGCCCCTCCCCTGCTCATTCTCTCTCTCAAAAAATAAATAAACATTAAAATAAAATAGTATCCTTATATCCTCGTTCTTAGTACTTAGGGTATCTGGTATTTGGAGTAATATCTGATAATGTTTGAGATTCATTACCGAATGGTTCAGAGGGGGAAAAAATGAAAAAAAAAGTTCATGCATGTGTGTAGGTAAGAGAATCACCAAGTACTGTAAGATGTGAACAGTTGGTGAATCCAGGTAACTCTTCTCAACTTTTCCGTAGGTTTGAAATTTTTCAAAACAAAAAGTTGGGGATAAAAATCAGAAAGACAGAAAGCAGAAAGACAGAAGCAGTTAACTGTGGCAGAAGTCAGCTCACCACACATACGACTTGCATTAGCTCTGGAGCGACTTCTAGAACCCCACACTGGGCCATGAGCTCCAAAGGACACCTATGCCTTTTTCACCCTTCTTTCTCCAGCATCCTGGCAGGGTGTCCAAAATATGTGTTTAGGGCACTTGGCTGGCTCAGTCCATAGAGCATGTGACTTTTGATCGCCGGGTTCTGAGTTCAAGCGCCGGTTCAAGAGTTCTGAGTTCAGCTGAGTTCAAGTTGGATGTAGAGCCTACTTTAAAAAAAAAAAAAAAACTTGTTACACAAATGTGCATGGACCAGCACCCTCCCTCGGGGGTATGCCCTCAGGAAGCCAGGGCAGAGTAGGAAACAAATAAGTTTGACATTTCCACGCGAGGTGTTTCGAGGCCTTCACGATGCTGAAAGTACCAGACAGCTGGACCTACACCAGCAAGGGTGACACCAGGGCTTGTGTCCTGGCAGTGCCCTTCTGGCTTCGCCTCCTTCTTGGTGAGGGAAGGGCAAAGCTTGTGGGGCTGCATTTGTTGATTCCATCCCCCCCCCCACATTTGCTCTGGAGAGTCAATAAAATCCCAGGAGTCTGCAGGAGAACAACCGGCCAAGGGGACAGACCCTTTTCCTCTTCAGCGTGGGACCAGGGCTTTGTTCCTATTCCCCACGCCCGCCCCCATATCCTGGGAGGAGAGAGGGAAGCATCTGAGTGCCTGCTCAGGATGAAGGCTCTGGAATCCGATCCCAGACCCCCTTCCACGCACACACATATTTACCCGATGCTCTGCAGGCCGGTATGTGGAGGTGAGGGGTGGGACATCTGGAGGACCATGTGTCTGGAAAGGCGTTGTGCCCTCCCAACCCTCTCCAAACCTGTCAGAAAGAGAACATGAGCCAGTGATGACACTGGGAACAAACAAACAATGACACTCACAGATCCATTTTCACCAGAGTGCAGAGTGTTTCCTGTGCCTTTTCCGTTATTTCACAACCTGTCTCTTTTTACTCACCCTCTGGGCTCCAGGACAGAAGCTGTTTCAGACATCTGGCTCCGGCCTCTCCTGGTCAACACCATGATCAAGACCCCTAGTGACCATCTGCTGCACTCCCTGGAGGGGCTGGTGCCCAACGACTTTGAGAGGTTCAAGTTTAAGCTCCAGAACACCAGCCTGGAGAAGGATCAATCCCGGATCCCCCGGGGCCAGCTCCAGAAAGCCAGGCCAGTGAGGCTGGCCACCCTGCTGATCACCCACTATGGGGAAGAGTGTGCCGTGCGGCTGACCCTGCAGGTCCTGAGGGCCATCAACCAGAACTTCCTGGCAGAGGAGCTCCACAAGGCGACTGACTCAGGTAAGCAGGTCCCATGCCCTTGCATCCTGCAGCACGACTTCGGGCTGTTCATGGGGTGGGGCGGAGGTGCAAGAAAGAACTTGGGTCTGGACCAGTGTGTTGTGACCTGAGAGGATTAGGAGTCCCGGGTTTCCCAATGACCGCAGTGACACTGGCCGAGCAATTCTTTTCTGCTGCTCAGGTCTTTGGAGCTGGGTGAGCATAGCCAAAGCTCCCAAAGGCTTAAAAAAAAAAACAAAACAAAAAGACTGAGATTCTGACTGTGGGGAAGAATCAGAAGAGGCAAGAGCTAGATGCCTGATCTTAGAGGATCCTGCACTTCCTAAGTGCTTAACGCTTGTGGACCGACAAGTATCTTGGGGAGAGGACCCACCTAATTTCTTTTGAGCTCTCTGACCCATTTCACAACGGTATTCTAAAATTCCCAATCCTTTTTCTTCCTTTCCTCCATCTTTTCTCTTCCCTTGTTTTCCTCCCTTCTGCCTCTTGTTCTTCTGCTCCTGTTTGGTTGGAAGTTTCTGATTTCATTACACTGTGATCAACGAATGTGACCTATTTGATGTTTGCTTTTAAAGATTTTTTGTGTGTGAGATTTGGGGGGAGAGCCAATACGTGCTCGGCTTAAAAAAATATTCTTTCTCGCTTCTCAGCCTTTTGGCTAAGATCAAGTGTAAAAAAATACTCTTTAGTGTTTGAGTATTTCTTCTACCTCCAGACTCCAAGGACACATTAGAAATGCTTTCCATGTGTGTTTTTTGAAGTAGAAATGTTTAAATAACATGGAACTTCTTGCTTTTGAAAGAGTGATGGAGTAAACCGTAATCGTGTCATTTGATGAGAATTTTTTTTTTTTTTGGATGAGGAGAATTCGTAAGTTACTTTGTTATGTTTTATTTATTTTTTATTTTTTTTCAACGTTTTTTATTTATTTTTGGGACAGAGAGAGACAGCATGAACGGGGGAGGGGCAGAGAGAGAGGGAGACACAGAATTGGAAACAGGCTCCAGGCTCTGAGCCATCAGCCCAGAGCCTGACGCGGGGCTCGAACTCACGGACCGCGAGATCGTGACCTGGCTGAAGTCGGACGCTTAACCGACTGCGCCACCCAGGCGCCCCACTTTGTTATGTTTTAAAACCTGGTTATTAGCATCTTCAGGGCTTTCCCCCCAGTTCCGGAGCCAGTTCCAAGAACTTACCATTTTCCTAGGAAGCAACATGTTTTTACAACAGCCAAGTGTTTTAAACCACTCTGAGGTCATTTCAATAAGAGCTTCTTCAAACGAAACATTAAGGTGCTAATTACAAAAAATCTTCATTTCTTTACTAGAGTAGTGGTTTTCAAGTTACATCCCAGGAAGATGTTTCAGGGATTCTTTGGAATGTCAGCAAATACTTAATTCAAATTTTATTAACTTTTCTAACTCAAAACCAACAAATTCATGTTAACATGTGTCATTAGGGGCGCTTGACAAACACCTTAATACTTCTTTATTGAGGGATTTTATAAGTGAGCTTTGTACATGTATAATCATGCACACACTTATACAAGTAAACTAGGGTTTTTATGTATTTTATGTATTAAGAATTCTGTGTAAGACTTTATATTGGACGTTCTCCTGTCAAAGACGTTTGAAAAGCACCATTTGGGAAATATATAACAACTAATTAGCATTTTCTTATTTCATGGTAATTGACTGCTGTTGCCTAGAATGCTCTGAACTTCTGTAATTTTTTTTTAGACAGAGCATGAGTGGAGGAGGGGGAGAGAGGGAGAGAGAAAATCTTTTCAAAATTTATTTTTTTTTTTTGTTTTTTTTTTTGTTTTTAATTTTTTTTTCAACGCTTTATTTATTTTTGGGACAGAGAGAGACAGAGCATGAACGGGGGAGGGGCAGAGAGAGAGGGAGACACAGAATCGGAAACAGGCTCCAGGCTCTGAGCCGTCAGCCCAGAGCCCGACGCGGGGCTCGAACTCACGGACCGCGAGATCGCGACCTGGCTGAAGTCGGACGCTTAACCAACTGCGCCACCCAGGCGCCCCAAAATTTATTTGTTTTTTAAAAAGACAGAACGCACGTGGGGGAGGGGCAGAGAGAGAGAGAGAGACAGGGAGACACATATTCGGAAGCAGGCTCCAGGCTCGGAGCTGTCAGCAGAGCCTGACGCGGGGCTCGAACCTGTGAACCACGAGGTCACGACCCGAGCCGAAGTCGGACGCTTACCCGACTGAGCCGCCCCGGAGCCCCAAAACCTCTGGAATTAAGAGGATTCCCCTTCTCTCCCTTCTCCCAACCCCTGGCCCCGAGCACCACACATTTTCATGCCTTTGCATCTCGCTGTCTTTGCAGAGTCTCTGATACAAGAAAGTGGCGCAGACGGTTCAGCAGTGTCTTGTTCCTCCGGGGAGAATAAGCCCAAAGGCCTGAGGATACCAGATGTCCTGGAAGGTGATAGGCAGCGGCAAAGTGGTGACGGGGCCCCCAGTGTGCCATCCAGCCAGCCTGAGGCCGGAAGGGGGACCCAGAAGAAGCCTCAGGGAAAACGGAGAGATCAGAAGCCCTCCGAAGGCCTGGATATGCTGGGCAAGCCAGGGGCTAGGAACGCGACTCTGTCCTCCAGGAAATGCCCATGCCCTGGCAAGCTGCAGGGGGAAAGGGGGATCGATCCCAGTGTCAGGCTACGCAGGAATGCCAGCTCTTTAGGAAGGCTCCAAGGACTGAACTATGGGTCGCTTACTGGGTCCCTAGGAAGGACAAAATCCAAAATAAATGAAGCACATTTACCTTCTGGACAGAAGCGCCCCAGAAGTCTTGAAATTACCATTTTTTCAGGAGAGAGAGAAGTCCCCAATCCAGAAACTCTTCTGTCTCAAGAGAAAATGAGAAGTGACAATCCAGACTCAGCGGCCACCCTCAGTGAAGTGGCCACTCTGAACGCAGGGGCTACTGTGACTCCAGAGAAAGGCTTTAGGAATCCAGAACATTCCATGAGCCTGAAAGGGGGAGCATTCAGGAATACACTTCCCAATGTAACGTTGACTAGAGCAAAGACGACCTGGGAGCATCCAGAATCTACAGGACCTTCTAAGAAAAACGGAATTGCGGGTCAAGAACCCCCTGAGGCCTTGACGGAGGTGGTAGGCGGTGAGTTCCATGAGCCTTCAGATCCAGAAGTTCCTCCTTCTTCCGGTGAGAAAGGACCCCAAAACTCACAAGACCTGGCATCCTTAGAGATGGTGACCAGTGCAGGTGTTCCCGCACAAACCTCCTTTTATCCCCACTGTATTTATGTCGCCAGATGCCTGGGTTTCCCCTGACATCCCCGACCCTTTGGGAATCTGAGGTAGGATGTGAATCCTGAGAAAATGCACGTATGCACATCTTCACAAAATGCCGCATCAAAGTTCAGCCAGTCAGTTCTTAGACACCCTGAAGTCCTTTAGAATTCCAAGGGATTCACGGACTCCAGCTCGAGCACCTGGGAAAGACTGGGTAAAAATACCCACTTCTCACAATGACCCCGTGGCAGTATGTCACGGGGCTGAGATTCTGCCATTCACCCCTCTCTCTGGGCAGCAAGGAGAGCTGCTGGCTAAAATGCTAAATGTCTTTCACTCAGGAGGCAGAAATTAGGATTGTGTTGGGTTGTGGGTGACAGAAATGCCAACGTAATGCTAACTGACACAAGCTAGAAGTTTGTTTCTCTTTCATATACGTGACTCACAGGTGGTTCCTAACAAGGAACCAGGCTCCTGCTGCTTTTCTGTTCCACCAAGCTGGCTCTCAAGCTCATGGTCTCATTCCGAGCAGCAGGGTGGAAGGACAAAGGAGAAGAGTATCGCTTAGGCAAGATTTCCAGAAGTTTCTAGAAGCTGCTCGTGATGCCTCCATTTATATCCCTTTGGCCAGAAAGCAGTCAAATAGCCACACCTAACAGCAAGGGAGGCTGAGAAATGTAGGGGTTTGGAGGCGGGTTGGGGGTGGGAAGCAGCCATCGATTGATGGGAAGCAATCAATTCTATCACTAGGGAAGGAGGGAAAAATGGTTACCAGGCAGGCCTCCCACAGTCTGGCTTACAGACGTGATAGGAATTCCTGGGACCGTGTGAGAGGGGGTGGGAGGGGACTGACAGATTGAGGGTGTTTCTGTTTCTTGTACCTCCTGTCATTTCTGCCTCGTGAAGTTGTGCTGTGGTCCTGGGGCGCAGCTGGTCGCAGCTGTCTGTTCATCATGGTGGGTTAAGCCCTTCAGCCTTACAAAGTCAAATCCCTTTCTTTACTTCTGCTTAAGACTTCCTGAACTGGACGGGAGGAGAGGTCTTTCATTGAACACACACTTCTCAACTCCTTACCATGTGCCATCGACTCTCCTAGGGGTCAGGCTGTGAGTAAATCCACGTCCTCAGGGAGATCCCGCTCACGTCTTGAGCAGCCTGGGTGGTTTTCAGCGTCAGAGCCAACACTGGTCAGAATGTCTCGCTGCCTTTATATCACCTGCCAGATCCGCGTCTGTGTGGGAAGAAGGCATAGAATTTGTAACAAAAGACCCTTCTTTAGGATAAATACCCAAAGATTGCAAGTCTCAGGACTGCCCTGAGATCTAGCCCTTAGCCCTCAGTTCCAGGGGGTGGTTGACTGCCTTGCTGGAGCGAAGGCAGGGGAGGACAAGCTAGAAGCGGCCACAGTCTAACCAGGAACTCATGTGTCCCAGGCGTGGGCTCGCTCCCTCTGCTGTGCTTGGTAGGACCCCTGCGTCACACCTTGGCTTTGTCACTCAGGAACTTTTTCCACTGCCGTGTCTCCAGGGAAGCCACGGGATGGGGCTGTGTATGTCCTTGGCCGTGCCCAGGAAGGAGACCCGGTCGGTGGCACGCATGTGCGCGATTCCTGCAGACGCTCCGTGGCTTCTAGGGATCCCAAGACCTCAGACAGCTGCTCAACTAGCTGGCTCCAGAGCCAGGCCCCACTCTTGGTAAAGAACTCAGGAGACTGCAAGCAGCAGGAGGGCCTGCACATGACCAGCTTGAGCCCCAAGGCCCTGCCACAGTGTGAGCGACATATGAGGCAGGCCCAGTTGCTCTTCTGCGAGGACCACAGGGAGCCTATCTGCCTCATCTGCAGGCTGAGTCAAGAGCACCGAGGCCACCGGGTGCGCCCCATCGAGGAGGCTGCCCTGGAATATAAGGTAGGGCTTCCTGTTGTGGCCGGGGGTGGGGGGCTTTCTCTGCTGGTCACTGGGACGTGCCAGGGCAGCTTTATTTTCCCAACAACCCTGGGGGGTTGATGCATTAACCAGCATTCTTGGGTTGTAAATGACAAAACACAACACAAACCAGACCAGCAAGGAGGGAACTTAGTGGTTCATGTAGCTGAGATCCGAGGGCACTGGCTTCAGGCATCGCTGAATCCAGGTGCTCACAGGTCTTTATGAATCTCTCACCACTTCTTGGCTCTGCTTCCCTTGTGAGATGGATTCATTCTTCCTCTTTCCTGGGCACCCTCCCTATGCTCTTGGCTGCAATACCATCCGCCTTACTCCCTACAGATTTTTCCCTCTAGAGTTGGCACCAACTCCAAGTTTAAACTTCACAAAGTGCCCCTTTTCCAGGAGCAAATTCAAAAGCAGCTGGAGTATCTGAAGGAGTTGAGAAAATCTGGGGAGGAGCAGAGATCTCAGGGGGATAAGAAGACCGCGGACTTCCTGGTAAGGCCAGGGGTGTTCTGTGGCCAGTCCTTGCCTGGATTCACCCCTACAGAAGGAGGGAGGGGACCAAGTGTGAGCAGGGGGTCCCCAAATTATGTTCTGGTTCATAGGGAAACAGAACTGATCACATATTTAGAACCACCTGCTTTTGGGGCCCCTGGGTAGCTCAGTCGGTTAAGCATCTGACTTTGGCTCAGGTCATAATCTCACGGTTCATGGGTTCGAGCCCTGCATCGGGCTCTGTGCTGACAGCTCAGAGCCTGGAGCCTGCTTCGGATTGTGTCTCCCTCTCTCTCTGCCCCTCCCCTGCTTGTGTGCACTCTCTCTCTCTCAAAAACAAATAAACATTAAAAAAAATAGAATCACCTGTTCTTGACGGGGCAAGGAGGTGACAGGAATCCAAGGATGAGCTTGCCCCTGGAGAGGGAGACCCACCTCCAGCAGGGAAGGGAATCTCCGAGGACCCTGTGTTTCTCATACTCGCTGCAAAATGGTTCAGCGAAAGTAACACCAGTGGCTGTTGGTGAGGGATGGGATTGAGGAAATGGGAGGTGAGACTTTTCCATTTCGTTTTATTTTTTTTAAATCATATTTATTTATTTTGAGGGGGGAGGGGCAGAGAGGGGGGTAGAGAGAGAATCCCAAGCGGGCTCCAGCCTGTCAGCCGGGGGCCCCACTCAGGGCTCAATCTCACGAACCGTGAATTCATGACCTGAGCCAAAATCAAGAGTCAGATGCTTAGCCAACTGAGCCACCCAGGTGCCCCAAGACTTTTCCATTTTAAATAGTCCTCTGTATCGTTTTTATAATTGTTGTCCATTTTATTTTTTTTACAAACACCATATTGATTTTTAAAATTCAAATGGTTAAAGTCGACATTTTCTTTAAAACTGTCACTTTGTGGTGCCACGTATTTCTTTTTTTTTTTTTTCAACGTTTATTTATTTTTTTGGGGACAGGGAGAGACAGAGCATGAACGGGGGAGGGGCAGAGAGAGAGGGAGACACAGAATCGGAAACAGGCTCCAGGCTCCGAGCCATCAGCCCAGAGCCTGACGCGGGGCTCGAACTCACGGACTGCGAGATTGTGACCCGGCTGAAGTCGGACGCTCAACCGACTGCGCCACCCAGGCGCCCCACGTATTTCAATAAATACACTTGTGGGCCTTCCTCTGTGGAACTTGGACACATAAGTTGCTTCCTTTTCCCTGCAAGAGAATTCGCCTCCCCCAATGAACCTTAATTTGTCTGACACATTTCTGTTGCCTGGACACCATCTCCTACCACACCACAATGGGGAACAGGCAAAGATAACAAAGGGCAGGAACGGGGACAGGCATGGCATTGGCCCAGGTGTCTGACTTTTGGGAAACTCATGAAGTGTAATCAAAGAAAACCCTATAATCCTAAGTGGCTTGGAACGTGTGGGTGAAGGAGAGGTCAGGGATGCCCCTGTCATGAAGGTGAGGCAGAGCCTGGGTTGCAGGGAAACTCAGGTGGACAAGAAGGTCTGCCCTTCCCTTAAGACACTCACAATGACATGAGCCCCTGTAGAAAGGTGATGTTGTTTTCCCCTTCCGTTCTTCCTCCTTCTTTCAACAGTCAAAAAATTTTTTTTTGTTTAATCATATGGAAGGGGGAAGGGGAAGCTCTTTTGTATAGCACAATGCCAGCTAAAACAAATATAGAAGAATAATTGAATTAGAAATTTTCCAGGGGCACCTGGGTGGCTCAGTCAGTTGAGCGTCTGACTTCGGCTCAAGTCATGATCTCACAGTTCATGAGTTTGAGCTCCACATCAGGCTCGCTGCAATCAGTGTAGAGCCCACTTCAGATCCCCTGTCCCCCCCCCCCCCGCCCCCGTCTCTCTCTCCCCTCCCCCACACCCTCTCTCTCAAAAATAAACAATAAAAAACAAAACATTTCCATTACACGAGCACCAGTATAAGAATTGACGTCAACAGGGATCATCAACAGATGCTAAAATTTTCAGCAGGAGATTGTAAGAGAACAGGATACTGACTCCCCCGATTACTTGATAATTATAAAGAAAATAATGTATATTTACAGTGGAGAGATGTGATAGACCCCTCCTCAACCAAGTGACCGATCTCAGTCTCCCAATAATAGTGAGGGACAAAGTGGACACTCTGCCTCCCCGTGCGATGGGCTAGGGAAGCCAGAGCACTAAGTATATGGTATTCTTGTCCACGACATGTAGACGAATTTAATCATGGGCAAAACTGTCAAACAATTTTAGAACAGTAAACATGACAACTGGCCTGTCCTCTTTAAGAAAGAAAAAAGCCAGTGTTGCTACCATCAACAACCACCACCAAAGGTAAGGAGACATTTTTGGTTCAAAAGGACCAACTATGCTTTTGAGCCAAAAATGAAACGACTTTTTTTTAAGTCCAGATCCTAGAGGATCCGAAGGGGCTTCTCTCTCCATGGAGGAAGGGGAAGGTGCCCTAGAGCCACTTCACCTCTCTGCAGGAACTCTCTAGTGATGAGGAGAAAGAGGGTGGTAGAATAGGGACCAAGGGCTGACCTCTGTGCAATGGTAGTGGAGGTCAAGTTCACTTCATATGAATGGGCGACGGCCTCCATTCAGAGCCACACTGAAGACCTTCTACATGCCAACACTTTGTTGTTGTTTTTTTTTCAACGTTTATTTATTTTTGGGACAGAGAGAGACAGAGCATGAACGGGCGAGGGGCAGAGAGAGAGGGAGACACAGAATCGGAAACAGGCTCCAGGCTCCGAGCCATCAGCCCAGAGCCCGACGCGGGGCTCGAACTCACAGACCGCGAGATCGTGACCTGGCTGAAGTCGGACGCTTAACCGACTGCGCCACCCAGGCGCCCCTACATGCCAACACTTTGACAGGGAGTGAGGTCTCCCTCCTGGACGATTTGGTAGTTATAACCTCGTCCGTTTATGACCCCAGGTAGAGGCCATCCGCACACTGGCTTTCAAGGAAGAAAGAAGGTGACACCGGGTATCTTAGTGTCCTGGGGCTGCCGTAACCAAGTGCCACGGACAGAATGGCTTAAACCACAGAAATATATTCTCTACAGTTCTAGAGGCCAGAAGTCCAGCATCAAGTTGCTGGCAGGATTGGTTCCTTCTGAAGGTTTTGAGGGAAAGACACATCCCGGGATTCTCCCCTCAGCTTGTTCACCTTCTGCCTACGTTTCTTCACATGGCGTCCTCCCCGGGTGTCTGTGTCCCAACTTCCCCACTCCAGGATGACCTCATCTTAACTAATTGCATCTGCAATGACGCTGTTTCCACATAAGATCATATTCTTTACGTAGTAGAGGTTGGGATTTCAACATAGGTATTTGAGGGGATACAAATCAACCCATGACACTGGGTTTCAGGGCATTTTACGAGAGCCAGCCCCTGCCACTCTCAGTCTGTTCTGGAAGGTTCTGTCCATTTTGCCTCCTGCTCTGAAATGCAGGCCTCCAAGAAGCTGAGGAAGCCTGCCTCTTATCCATCGCCAGGAGGTGGGCTTCTGGGGATTCTCTGGGCACACACATCCAGCACACTGCACAGACCCCCTACACCTTTCTGTTCCCCAGAAACAAATCGAAACCCGGAAGCAGAGAATCCGGCACCAGTTGAAGCAGCTGTACCATTTTCTGGAAGAGCAAGAGAAGTTCTTCATGGCCTCCCTAGAGGAGCTGGGCCAGACCATTGGCCACGTCAGGGAGTCATACAGCACCCGAGCGTCCAGAGACATCGCCCTTCTCAATGAGCTGATTGGGGAGATGGAGGTCAAACAGAGCCAGCCGGAA